AATTTACGCAGCGCTTTACATACATATATTGTACATTCACATCAGTCCCTAACCCTCAAGGGGTGTACAATCTAAGGTCCCTAATCACATTCATATATATATACTAGGGTCAATTTAGAGAGGAGCCAATCAACCTACCAGCATGTCTTTGGAGTGTGGGAGAAAACTGGTGTACCCGGAGGAAACCCACGCAAGCACAGGGAGAACATGCAAACTCCAGGCAGGTGGTGCCATGGTTGGGATTCGAACCAATGACCCTAGTACTGCCAGGCGGAAGAGCTAACCATTTAGCCACTGTGCTGCTCACATTTTAACAAAACTTATTGCCAATTCCTACCTTTTTTTATTCTGAAGAAATAGCAGTTTGTCTGTATTCATGTACAGAGTGACTAATGGGAATGGTTTATAATTATTAATCAGCTGCAGTACATGCAGGGCTCTGATTAGCAAAGCTGCAAGGTCTACATCACTTTAGTTGTGATTTCCCTTTGGGAGTATCTCAGGGGTGCCCTAGGCAACATATAAATCGTCTGCCCCCCACGGGCACTAACCCACACCCCCTCCCCCTCCCGCGGAGAGAGCCTGACATTGACCAACAAACCCCTGCACCCCATCTGGGAGAGCCTTCCACTACCCCCCCCCCCCACTCATCTTCACAGCATATTTGCTTGCGGTCGGCGCCAAGAGGTTAATATTATTAAAGTGGTAGGAAAGGCCGTGTAAAAAAAAAAAATCTTCCTCCTGCAAGCTAAGAGCATAGTGTTCATGCATTGCATACTAGCATATTATGAAAGATTTGCCTTAAAATGAAGCCCTCCAGCGGTGCGCTGTCCCTGCTGATAGGGCTTCCATCTTCACCCAGTCTTCCTACCAGGTTCACGGGCTCTGGACATTTGAATGGTCAAGTCACTCCAACGCACAAGAGTCATGGCAGCGGCAGTGGTGCATTTAGGTTTTGTACTGCCCTAGGCAACACAAAAATCGTCTGCCCCACGGACATTGACCAACACCACGCCCCCTTCACCCTCCTGCGGACAGAGTCTGACATTGACCAACAACACCCCTGCATTCCACTTGGGAGAGGCTTCCACTACCCCCCCCAGCGATAGAGAGAAAGACACTCATCTTCACAGCTCTGGACATCCCCGGGAGCGAGAGCCAGGCTCTACATACACCATAAAACAACCCGCAGCCTATCTTGGATCCCACCTGGTTCCCATGGTGCGCGTGTCCCTTCTTTCATCCCTTCTTCTAGGGGGAGGTGCTGCCCCCCTGAAAATGTCGCCCTAGGCAAGTGCCTCGTTTGCCTTGTGGTAAATATACCCCTGGAGTATCTCACCAAAAATGACATTTTTGTTGCAGGGGATGCTCAAAATCGGATTTGTATCTTAGTGCAGACTTCTGGGAAAATCAGTAAAATCACACAAAGCATGAAATGACATATCTGGGAGGAGTTCTGTACACCATCTGTGTGTACAGAATACCTCCAGGTAGCCATATTGCATTGCATTTTAAAAAAAATGACAGCGCTACAGATTGAAAAGGAAAGGTAATTTTCAATAACATCCAAATACAATATGACTTGTGTAGGAATTGTAGATGTTGCAAATGCAGAAATGTTTTTTTTTCATTTGCCAATTTTATTTTCTACAAACGTGGAGTTCCCATTTAAGTTTCAGCAGCACAGTTGCTGGTAAGTGCATATGTGCACGTGAGGCCTAAGGGTTAAATGGGAAAACAAGTCAGAACCATGCATGAAACGCAGGGGAAAGGTCCCCTACCTTTTCTTTCCCAAAATGCACCTGCAGGGCAGCTGTATGGAACAGCATGGTGCTGAAGCAGCATTTGCTTTCACACCCCTGAAAATGTGCTGCGTTTTTTAAATGCATAAGGATGTCATTAAGATTTCCACATGTTCCTGCACCCCCAATAGTGTGAACCTAGCCCTAAAGACAGAAGTAACTTTCACTCTTTACACTGCACTGTGAAAACCTCCTCACACTGAGCTTCTAACTCTTGGTTCACATTTCTTTCTTTGATTTCCCAAACATTTATTATTCTCAGTCAGCCTTCGATAACATGCATTCAGCTGGTTTACCTCCTCTTATCTTAATTTATGATGCTACTTTCTAGACAGGTTATATAATAAGCCAATGTTCCTGCTAGGCTTTACTTTACCAGATCAGATCATCAAACGAGCGAAGCTCATTACTCCATACAAAAACTAGCAGGCATATAAGATAATTCTAGGAGAATTGTACAGGCAAAATGTGATGATAAGAATGAATGTCAAACCCCAAACTGTGTGGAGAGAATGGGGGAGTGGTGCTGAACACAATGCCGCGCTCATTTTCCCAAAAATTCACAAGTCGGTTATGAAAATGGTCAGACTAAAATCTCAGTTCTTTCCAGTCATGGAAGGCAGCATATAATCACAAAAAAATGATCTGGTTTAAGGAAACTGTGAAAGAAAACAATCCATTCCAGATGAAGGGCATCATAAACCTTACTTAGCAAGGGTCTTCAAAAGACTTCCGATGAGACTGTTGTAAAGGTCCTATTGTACATAGTCTGGTATGCAGCTGAGGAATACACATCTGTGAGGTTGGCGTTACTGAACTTTCAGAACCAAACTTTACATACAGTCCATAATTTCTACAGTAAAAGGAGCTACTTTCCTAAAAAGAGACTTTGGTGTCCTTTTAGGAAACAGAGATCAGCGGCAATCCTGGGGATCGTTGCTGATTTCCGATCATTAGTGGTTTAGGAAACAGAGATGATCAGCAGAGAACATGTTCTCCACTGATCATCTCAGCACAGATGGCCAGTGTATGAAGGAGCAATGTCAGCCCTTCACTGGCGATCTGTGTTCTCTCTCCAGATTCTCCAGCTCAGAGGTGGAGAATCGGAGGAACCGCAAACGAAGCAGCGATAATCTACCACTGCTTAGTAAACTGTGTGTTTGACTTATCTCTTACTGTAATTTTGCGAGATTGCAGTAAAAGCAGCCGTTTTCTAGCGTTCAGAGCATTTGTAGATCGCTTCTCTCTTCATTCGGAGAAGCAATCTACACCGCTTCATAAAAAGGCATTCAGAAGAGAACTCTCTGCTCTGATAATGCCGGAGAACTGAGCAGCAGTCATTTACCGCTGTATGATAAAAGGACACCTTTGTTTGTAGAAAAGATACCACTCCATTAGAAATTATACCTTTATACAGTATCAAGAGAACATATGTGAACCCCTTGGAATTAACTGGTTTTCCGCAGTAGTTTGCCATTCAATGTGATCTGATCCTCATCCAAGTAACAATAGACAAACAATGTGCTGAAGCCAATACCAAAAAAAATCTCATTTCTTGTGTCTTCATTAAACATTCACAGTGCTGGAGGATTGGAGTTAATAGCTGGTCGCTTTCTTATTTGTGCTGAAGACTGACTGGATCAGTCACTGGTCGTAGGTGGGTGGTTGCATGGCTGGGTAGGGAGAAGTCCCTCCAGTCAGTTGTACCCAATGGTGGATATTGATGGTTATCCCTCTAAAGGTGTGGGCTGCTGCCTTTCTGGTATGGCCTTGAGGTTGTTTCCACACATATACTTGAAATAGTAGAAAAGAAGGAATGCCCAAGGTCCAAAAGAATGCACTTCTAATGGAGGCATTTATTGAGAGTAACAAGTACATCAAGCCAACACGTTTTAGGAGAAAAGACTCTCCCTACTTCAGGGCTGCTGCTGCACGCTAATGAATAGAAACAATTCCCACGTCGCTTATAGATTTTCCAGGTTTCAGAGGAAAAAAATGATGGAGTGACCACTGTTCATTGCTCATTGTTGCCCGTGGAATGACTGTGGTCACTGTAATTTCCTCTGAAACCTGGGAAATCTACACCACCTTCTCTGCTTGAAGCTCTAATCTGTGGGCAGAGCCTCTGCATCATCACATTATAGGAACATTAACCCTGTATTGCACAATGAAGAGGCTGGAGTGTGACCAAAGTTGGTCACAGCTTACAGAGCAGGCTGTGGGGGACCAAACACTGAGCTGGAAGGACCCTGCTGGAACAGGAAATAAGTTATGATTTTGCACCCTATTCATGAACCCCTAGACATAACAAGCATTTACCCTTGAAGGGGGGTGCAGTGCAAGGGAGAATTTTGTTTTATTTCTGAAGATGTGCTTTAAAATCCTTAAGACTTTACTAAACTCAGGAGCCTGCATTCACTATATCTGGTCTCTCACAGTACATGGAAATAGAATTATTTTAGTAAATATAAACTGTTAAATACCTTTTCTCATCAGCAGTATATAGCAGTCTTGTGACTTCTATCACTGTCTGGCCGAGCACTGGTTAAAGCTTGAAGACTGTCCTATGAGGCTGCATAACCTCCTCTATTTGGACAGTGCTGACTGGCCCTGTGCTGATCACCACGCACCCGCCCAAAAAAAAAAAAAAAAAACTCTCTAGCATTACAGATCAAACTGAGCATGTGCAGAGTGCCTCCTAGGGCTGTGTACTATCAGCAGATGGATTGGGGACTGTGGAAGGGGGGGATCAGAGAAAACAGGATCAAACAGCCTTTTTACACAATGAGGATTAAACCCTTAGGGTCCACAGTGAGTATAACAAGCATGCTTTACTGCATATACAGATTGATTTTACTGTTGTAGATTTAGTAACACTTTAAACTGTTAAAAGATGTGATGGCAGCTATCATGTGTTTAACAGGTTACCTACTTGGCTGTTCTGCTGCACTGATAGTCACTCTCAGTCTGCCAGTGCTGACAATGTTGTCCCCATGACCCCCATTTCTGTGCAGGGTGAGTTTGACCAATTGTCACATTTGGTGACAATGAAGAGCTCTGAAGAGTTACGAGCAGCTGTAATATTTTAGGCACATGGGCTTCTGGGTTTTGGTCTGCTCCAACATGCAGTATCCCTAATGACTAATTATATTAGAAACAAGGAACGAGAGATGAAAAGCCAAATAAGGCTCTACGTACCTGAGGTCTGGTGCGAGGATTCCATCTTATGTAATAGTTTACCCAGAGTTCCAAGTGGCTCAGACTGGCAACTGGATACAGCACATGGTGCTCATAATTCACATAAAAGGGACTGGTAAATTCATCCATGTGGCTATTAATGTAGGACCACAAAGATATAGTCTTGGTTTGCAATTCCTAGAGGAGGAGAAGAGACTTAATGTTCATTTGCATAATGCCACCAGTACAATGAAACATTTGCATTTCATCCCTTAACCAAAGATATCTAAAGAAATGAATAGTAAGGATAAATGGAAACGACACCCTATCTTCTGTTATGCAGTGCTCCTCAACAACACACATACAGATCACCACCTTATATTTGTACTTAAAGTGGTATTAAATCCAAAACCAAAAATATAATATATTGCAATTTACTAATCATTAGATGTGGTGGCTACCTTTGTTTCTTTTTTAGGTTTTTCCTCATCTCTTTTCACCTGGTGATCTGGACAGTAAACATACCTCCTGGATTAGAATGCTCCCTCTCTGGATAAAGGAGTACATGGGAAGATTTACACAGCAGCATTCTCAGTCTGGGGGGAGGGGAGTGTTAGATGCACTAGCAGATTTAAATACACTAAAGGCCCTGTTCACACTGTGTGTAGCAGGAACTTGTTTTGTGTGGACAATACTCACACGATTCCCCATGTCGCACATAGGGCAGTACATTCACATGAATGGGCGGCCCTATGTGTGTCTGTCACAACAAAGAACCTCAGGGACCAAATTTTGGCCCTAAGCCAGGCGCAAGTGTACATGTGCGTTTTGCAGCGATACGTAATTGTGCCAAAATTGCATGACGTTTACAGTGTCATTAAAGACGCATGGCACCCAAAAGGGAGTTGTGCTGCAATTTGGAATCACTTATGTGTGAATGGGGCCGAACACACTTAAGCCAAACTCCAACTAATACATTATAAGCAGTGACACCAATCAGTTTATTTCCTTTTGGGCTAACAGTTTTCCATAAATATAAACTGATCATTGTGATGGTTTGTCTCATCACAGTAGCTGCAGGAGAGCTTGTTCTTTTGAAAAATAACAGACTTTCTAGCTGGATCACCAGACGAAATTAGAAAAAAAAAAACAAAAAGAAAATGAATGCAGCCATCACATATAAGAATTGATAAGTTGCAATATAATAAAATGTTTGCTTTTAGATTTAATACTGCTTTAAAATAGTTTGACCCAATGTCAAGTCTCAAATGTAGAAAAGTAGCAAGCAAAAACTGTGGTGGTCAAAGTTAGTGACAATAACTGAATTTATACATCATGAAAAGGCTCTGTTCACATTTTAAAGGGTTCAATCCATTAGTTACAATGCTGGAAAGCAGTACTAAAGATTAAAATGTTGATCTTGATTACTTTCCAGGTATAAACTCATGTTTATGTGATCCAAACTCCCAGACATTGCACACCTCAGTGGGAAGAATGTAGCTATGCTAGGGCTAGTAAAATTGTAAATTGTTAGACATCAAAGCTGCAGATTCATTCCATTTTTGGGGTAAAAATGCACTCAATTATACCTAGATGGACATTGGTTCACATGATTACCTTGTCCATGCTAAACAAGTGGATGGAAGAATCTACAGTGCGGCTATTGTATTTTGACAGCCAGCACCCATGGCTATCGGAGTACCCAAACAGTGCCTGCATCTAACTGGATGCAGGCACTATTCAGCCAATAATTCTCTGCCTGGCTCCTGCGAAAAAAGTTGATTTAGGGCCCTTTCACATGAGCACATTCCAATCAATCCGCCACTAACTGGAGCAGAGTGGGCTGGATGACAGGCCCGCGTCGGCCCAGTTTAGCAGAGCAGACCCGGACACAGCCCATTCTGCTCCATGGACGGCCAGGAGTAAAGGAGCTGTCCGTTTACACCTGACTATGTTCCAATCCGATCTGCCTAAACGAAAGACCGCAAATCCATTTCTTTTTTTAGCGGACCAGACTGGACCCGGAGGTAGGTGGATGTAAACAGACTTGTGTCTATCGGTCCATAGGAATACATGGACCCTTTGATAAAGTCCATCTGAAAAACTCGCAGATGGACCCGACTGGATCTCCCATGTAAAAGGGCCTTTAAAAATGCCAAGCTGGATAGTGTCGACAGAGCCACCCACAGAATTAACTTTGGACAATTTGGCCAAAATCTGATACCTTGTATGGTTATTTTTTTTACACAATTAGAATTTGCATTTCATTCATAATAATGTGAAACATTTTGACAATCTTTGTGTACAGAATTACCCCTGGAAATCTTATCCCCTACACGTGTGATTTTTGTACAGTTTTTTTTTTCTGCTCAGATGCAGATTCTCAGCATTGTCCTTGGGTTTGCAGCAGAGTTCCTTCTTCTTTGCTACTACATGTACAAAAGATGATGGGGGTTCTTACATATCTGCAAGGAATGCTGAAAAGCAGGGGCTCTGTGCATTACTATTATGCATGGATTGATCCTATAATTTTGATTGTTTAAGGAATATGGTACAAAGGTTGGTTGTGTAACCATCAAAACACAGTAAGGCACACTGGAGTTTGATAAAAACCTACACTTATATTTTTGTATTTCAATGATTTTTATTAACTTTTTTTAAACAATTTAACAAAGAAGAACTAGAGCACAAGACACGCCCACACAGGGGCTATCAATGGCACATAAAAATAAAGAGAACAGTGCTATAACACCAGCAATGCAAAAGGCGCGCCAACGTAGGGGCCATCAATGGCACATAAAATACAAAAACAGTGATATAACTCCAACAAAAATTCCAGCCAAAGGCAAGTATCTACCGCCTAATAGAAGCAAACAGGAAACAAAGAAGAAAAAGAGTAAAGAAGGAAGAAGAAAACAAAACCAGAAGCAGGGATCCGGGAACGACAACACCACACAGCATCATAAACCCAGACTAGTGGGGGGGGGGGGGGTGGTGGGAAAAGCATATGTCAACCACGGCTCCCATATTTTCAAAACATTTCGTTGGGAGTCATTACGAATACTCAACATCTGTTCATTGAGCATCAGATGTCATACGGTCCAGCACCCCCTGAAGAGGGACAGACGGGCCTTTCCAGGCCTGAGCAATCGTTCTAGTGGCTGACAAAAACAAATAGTAAGCCAACGTCTGCTGATGAGCCAACAGGCCCGGTATGGGACAATGAAGCAAAGCATACAGAGCCTCCCGATGTATGGAGAGATAGAACAAGGTTTAAAGAAGGCCAAACACACGAGATCAAAAAACGAAGCAGTCTCGGGCATGACCACCATATATGCAACACATCTCCACGATGGCCGCAACCCTGAAAGCAGCGTCCACCTGGGCTATACGAGCCGGGACCCAATACCAACGAAAAGTACTTTGTATGCTGCCTCCAGCGTGGCTGTATTAAATGAACATTTAGCTATAATCGACCAGGCCTTATTGCAGTCCACCAGATCCATGATCGTCCCCAAGTCACGCTCCCACTGGGCAACATATGATAGAGAAGTACGCACTGAGCGCCTATTTAAGGATGCATAAAGTAGGGAAACGGAAAAATCTAGCCTATGGGACATCCCGTGATTCCCGAAGGGACTTCCAGGTGGGAAAAGAATCTAGAGGTCAAAAAGTGTCGCACCTGGAAAAACCATTGGCCACCCACCAGAGAACGCTCCTGGCTGATCCAAACCCAGCAGAAAAAGAGGATTATTGACAATGGGGATCAAGGGTAGAAAGGGCGACATCAAGCCACTAGAATAGCATACCGAATTCCACACGTGTAGGCCATGGAGCATAATGGGACTCAAATATCCTCAGATGTTGGGCAGGGGGGAGCCATAAGAGCATTGATGTCACAATGGGGGCGCAGTTAAGTAGTTCCAAAAGGACCCAGAGTGGGCCATCAGAGGAAGCGTGCAACATAGACGAGGGGGGGCAATCTGGCTCACCTGGTAATACTTAGCTACATTAGGTACCCCAGGACCTCCCTGTGGTCTACGGGCAAAAAGCGTGTTTCTGGAAACTCTGGGGCGTCTGTCAGCCCAGATAAATCGCATAATCCTCGCCTGAATTAACCGGAGAAAATGAGGAGGAACCCGTACTGGGAGGGACCGAAAAAAATACAACAATTTAGGCAGGATAGTCATTCTCACCGAATTAACCCATCCTATCCAGGACAGGTGCGGGAATTGCCAAGACTGCATAAAGGAGGATACAGAGCGAAGCAATGGATAATAATTTGCAGCAAACAAAGAGCCATAGGTGGGGGTCAGGTGAATGCACAAGTATTCCAGTGAAGAGGAAGCCTATTTGTAAGGGAAGTGGGATTGCAGGCGTGAAACCAAATCCGAGGCCAGAGTAATATTGAGAGTGACAGTCTTATCCAAATTAATACGGAGACCCGAAATCAATGAAAAAAGCGCAAAAACATGTTGTAAGTTTGGGAGCGTAGTCAACGGATTAGTGAGAGTCAAGAGGGCATTGTACGCAAAAGGATTCAACTTAAATTCCTGTCCTGCGTAAGGAACACCCGATATATTACAATCAGCCCGGAGCACCAAAGCCAGCGGCTCAAGCGCCAGCACAACGAGAAGTTGAGACAAGGGGCAAGGAAGGGATAGATATCCGCCTAACTAAAGGAAGCTGTTGGACATGCATAAATACGTAGTCGATTCTGCAGAAACTATTATGAGGATTTGAATAGAACGTGAAGTTGCGCTCAGTTGGGTGAAGTTCCCTCCAAACGTCTGCCAGCCCCACAAACTGCAGGAGAGAGCGCAAGTCGTGAGAAAGGGCCGCCCCTTGAGCATAGCGCCTATCTAGAGCGGAATTCAAGGTAACATTTGAATCCCCAAAAGAAGAAGGCCCTTGGAGTGTCGGGAAATGATTGTACAAAGATGTGAGAAGAATTTGTGCTGAAAGCGATTGGGAGCGTAATAAGAAACAAAAGCGACCTCCTGATCCCAGAGGGTGCCCTGCAAGAGCAAGTAACTGCCTGTGGGGTCCACTATATTCCGAGCACAGGTGAAAGGGAGATTGCGTTTGAAGGTCATCAGAACACCCAGTCCTTTCTCAGGAGCCAAGGCCGTGTAAAAGCTGGGATAATGAGATGACCGATACCGTGGAGCTAAGGACTGGGCAATCCTGGTTTCCTG